GGTGGTGAGGCTAATGTCTGTTCCAATTGCCCCAAGGGTCTGGCACAGTACCTGCACAAAATTAATATTAAAATGTAAATAATAGATAGTAGGTTCCTAGACAGCAACTGCCCAGGGAGGTACTACCACACTGCCAAGTAAGTGTAAAACAAGCCTGTACCATATTTGTTGATGGTAGGGTTGCTGGTGTCTTTTTTCTGTCTCATAAATATGCAAGATTTCAGGTACATCTTGCTACTTCTACTTACACTTAGGTCACACTACACATGCATGTAGACGTTTATGTACAGTAGACTGTCATTTAACATGAGTTTATTTGGCAAGTTTTGGTTATAGCATGATTGATGAAGTGCGGCACAATTTTATACAACACTTCGTAAAATTAACTTAACATGGTTTAGTCTGCAGGAAGGGAAAAAATTTTGAGTATGCGGTCGCCATCCTCCGCCACTCTCCTAGCCCGAATCGTATGAGTAACCCTTTCAGGGTCCAGAGGCCAAATTTCAGAGGGTGCACCAGTGTCCAAGAATTTTCAAAAAATAATTTTGTTATTTTTTCTTATGAAATGGTAGAGAATCTTTTTCTGAAGGTAATAAATCAAAAAGTATGAAATTTAATGGAAAACTGACGAAATTATCCTCTCGCGAATTTTGATGTGTCAGCGATATTTACGATATTTACGTATCAGCGATTTTGCAGACTTTGACTCCCATTTTAGGCCAATTACATTATTCCAGTCGACCAAATTCTCAGCTATTTCACTAGCGGAGGAGGGAGGAGGAGGGAGGAGGAGGGAGGAGGAGGGAGGGAGGAGGGAGGGAGGAGAGGAGGGAGGAGGAGGAGGGAGGAGGAGGGAGGGAGGGAGGAGGGAGGGGGAGGAGGAGGGAGGGAGGAGGAGGGAGGGAGGAGGAGGAGGAGGGAGGGAGGAGGGAGGAGGGAGGAGGGAGGAGGAGGAGGGAGGAGGGAGGAGGGAGGAGGGGGAGGAGGAGGAGGAGGGAGGGAGGGAGGAGGGAGGGAGGGAGGGAGGGAGGGAGGGGAGGGAGGGAGGGAGGGAGGGAGGGAGGGAGGGAGGGAGGGAGGGAGGGAGGGAGGGAGGGAGGGAGGGAGGGAGGGAGGGAGGGGAGGGAGGGAGGGAGGGAGGAGAGGAGGAGGAGAGGAGGAGGAGGAGGAGGAGGAGGAGGAGGAGGATTAATATGACATTACATCAGTGAAAACTTGGCGTTTCCCACACTGTTTGCTGTAGCTGGTGCTCAATTTAACTTGGCCAATTTAATGCAAAGTTCAAAATACTCCAGTTTCAAAATAGGGTCCAGAATAAACAATGCAGGCATTCCTGGCACTAAACTAACATTTCCTCTCTTCATTAGTTATGTTTTCAGGCTTTACTAATGAATTCCATTTTTATTTTTTATTCACATAATTAATTTTTATTCAAACCAAAAAATAGAAGATTTACTGTTATGCAATATTGTAATAATTGTATAAATAATATCACCACATTTGTGAATGTATATTAGACCCACCAGCTGTTATGTATTAGACTTGTGAGGTCATTTGTTTACTCTTGAACATCGGCAAAAATTTAACATTTCTGCTACTTTGAGCTCAGTTTCAAGCCATTTCCATTACTAAAACCAATCAAAATCATCTCTATTTCTGTAATATGTCTTCCATTCTATCAAATGATTCCAAGAAATTGCAAATACAACTATAAAAAACAAACGAAAAAATACTGCAAAGTCGCTGTTTTAATAAAAAATTACGGTCTCAGTTTTTTCTCTCATTATGCATTGTGTGCTGCAGGATTTGTTTTATGTGGTGCACACATACCACATAGATGTATTCTCTCATATCAAGGCTAAATTTACTGCTCACAGCTTATCAGAGTGAGCTGAGCTCATGGCGTAGATCTATGGTTTGGACCCTGAACGTAAAGCCGTAGAGCTACGGCACGGACCCTGAAAGGGTTAAAAAAATCTGGGACCATTTAGTACTTTGCGGGAGCACCAGTTCAACTGAGCACCAGCTAGAGCAAACAGCAAGGCAAACACCAAGGATTCACTGATGTCATGTCGTATTAACTCTCCCCTATTAACCCTTAAACTGTCCAAACGTATATCCATGTTCACTTGCGTGGCGCTCCGAATATTTTGAAAAATAAAAAAAAAAACATTTTTTTCTTTTAAAATGAAGAGCACATTTTTCTACATGTTATACGATTAAAAATTTTAGGGTCAGCACTTACCGAGATATAAGACCGTGAAGTCTGCTCTGGATGCTTACCTGACGGCAACATCGACTCCTGCTGTCTGCAGAAGTGTTGCCGACATACCTTTTTTTCTCGTTTTTATTTTAATTTATATATTTTTAATGTTCTGATAATTACAATTTATAATAGTTCTTGTGATTTCATAGCCAATCTTTGTTCTGACACTAATATTAGGTACTGAAGTAGTGCTCAAATAGTCACAATCACATTGACAGGTGAACATTTACACCTGCTTGGGTTATTTACAATTGTCTAGAAATATATACAAAGTATTTATAGGTCCCAGCAATGTTTTAGATACCCTGGCATATACCTTGAAGCATGGTGTTATGAAAGGCATCCCTATACTGTTGACAGCCCAGTAACATTTGATAAATGCCCACTTGCTGTATTTGTTATCACTGTTACACACAAACATGTCTTGTCTCTCTGTCTGTATCTATCTATCTTGTCTGTCTCTTTGCCTGTCTATGTCTCTGTCTATCTGTCTGCCTGTCTGTCTCTGCTTATCTGTCTTTCTGTCTGCCTGGAGTATACGTATATGAAACTCCTTGAAGAATGGTGTTATGACAACTGTTGACAGCCCAGTGACATTTGATAAATGGGCGCTCAATGGGCGCTCGGGGAACCCTGGCTTTATTTGTTTTCACTGATACGCACAATCATGTTTGTCCATCTGTCTATCTATCTATCTATGTTTGCCTGGAATTTTTGGGTTATCCTAGGTAATTTACACTATGTATAATAACTGTACTTATGTGTGCATGTGAGAGAGAGACAGATATACAGAGATATAGACAGAGAGACAGTGAAAGAAAGCCGGCTAGCCAATCAGCCTGCTGAATGCACAAGAACATAAGAAAGAAGAAACACTGCAGCAGGCCTACTGGCCCATGCAAGGCAGGTCCATGTCACCCCCCTGGCTTAGACCAATGACCCACCTAGTCAGGTCACATCCACTGAAGGAAGGAGCACGACATCAGACCGAGTAGCACAAGCTAGTCAGGTCCAACTCTCACTCACCTACACTCACTCATGTATTTAGCTAACCTTCACTGTATTTATCACTGTTACACACAAACATGTCTATGTCTGCCTGTCTGTCTCTGCTTATCTGACTTTCTGTCTGCCTGGAGCATACGTATATGGAACTCCTTGAAGAATGGTGTTATGACAACTGCTGACAGCCCAGTGACATTTGATAAATGGGTGCTCAGGGGGAATCCTGCCTTCATTTGTTTTCACTGATACGCACAATCATGTTTGTCCATCTGTCTATCTATCTATCTATGTTTGCCTGGAATTTTTGGGTTATCCTAGGTAATTTACACTATGTATAATAACTGTACTTTTGTATACATGTGAGACAGAGATATAGATAGACAGAGATAAAGATAGACTGAGATATAGACAGGTAGAGATATGGACAGAGAGACAGCCAGAGACAGAGAAAGCAAGCCAGCCAGCCAAGCGATCAGCCTGCCGAATACATAAGAACATAAGAAAGAAAGAACACTGCAGCAGGGCTACTGGCCCATGCAAGGCAGGTCCATGTCACCCCCCACCCCTGGGCTTAGACAAATGACACACCTAGTCAGGTCACATCCATTGAAGGAAGGAGCATGACATCAGACCTAGTAGTACAAGCTAGTCAGGTCCAACTCACACCAACCCACACTCACTCGAGTATTTATCTAACCTATTTTTACTTTCCTCTTAAAATGGGAGTGTTAATGCGACATGGCATCAGTGAATCCCTGCTGTTTGCCATGCTATTTGCTCTAGCTGGTGATCAATTGAACTGGTGCTCCCACAAGGTACTAAGTGCTCCCAGATTTTTTTAATACTGTGCACAGTGAGTGCATAGACCCATTCTTTCATGTCTAGGCAACTCAAGCCTATTGTGCTAAATTTGAAGGAATGAAAAATAAAACGTTGATCTACGTTCGGAGCACTACGCAAGCAAACGTATATCTACATTTGGACAGTTTAACCCCTTGACTATCGCAACCCCAAATCCTGAGGTGTCTCCCAGTGTCGCAAAATTTCCGAAAAAAAAAAATTATTTTTTTTCTTATGAAATGATAAGAGAATCTTTTCCCGATTGTAATGACACAAAAAAAAAATTTGATGGAAAACTGACGAAATTACGCTCTCGCAAAGTTAGCGACCTTGGCGATATTTACGAATTGGCGATTTCACCCACTTCGAGCCCTATTTTTGGCTAATTCCATTGTTCCAGTTGACCAAACTCATAGCTATTTCTTTAGAACTCAATTTTTTTCTATCGACTGAGTACAGGAAACTACCCATTTATCAATTTCAACTACCCAATAATGAGGTCAGAAATTTGCAATTTGGCCAATTTCACGAAAATTAAAAAATATGACAATTTCGAAAATCCAACTAGCATTACCACAGAACAAAAGAATTAGCATATCATTCATAGGCTTGTGTTCTGGCACTGTCTTTTCCTCCTGCATAATGTAGGTCCTCTTTTGCATTTTCTTCAAAAAGAGGCCTGTTTCATCACAAATGAACACTTGTTGGGGAGGAATCCTTCAGCCTCAAAGTGCCCCTTGAAATCATCAAAGAATGCTTCAGCAGCATGTTTGTCAGAACTTGCAGCCTTGTCATGCCCTACAACACTGTGTATGCCAATTCGCTTCTTGAATTTGTCGAACCAGCCTTTGCTGGCCTTAACTCTTTGACTGTTTCGGTCGTATATATATGCCTTACGAGCCAATGTGTTTGACGTACATATACTCAAAAATTCTAGCGG